TGTTTCCTTCCAATTTTAGGCTGAGGGATTGCCAAAGTAAGTTTGAAAATTCATCCATGTGGGAATTGTATCCATTCATGATTAGGTGGTGAGCAATGTGTTCAAATTGTAATATGAATTGTCTGAATGGTTCTGGAGTGCTGAGGCCACCATGTTTACAACATAGCTGACCAAATCGACCAATCCCTCTCTAGCCATTTCTTCCAGGGTGAGAGTAATTCCAAATCTATACATTAATTCTCCCTTCAAGTTTTCCCAATTGCATTCTTCATATCCATGCATTTCTTCCACTTCATCTTGTAGGTCTGTTCCTCTGATAAAGGGCAATATCTGGCTGGCCAAATCTTGAGAGTTTGCTCCAACAATTTCTGCAGCTTCTTCATATTTGCTGATAAATTCTTCTATGGGCATGTTAGTCCCATCAAAACAAAATCTCTTGTCCAAAGCTTTAATTTTGACTATCTTTCTTCTTCCTCCAGTATAGCTGGTCATTTCTGGATCGATTGTAAAAAAATAGATTGGAAGGGGTCCAAGGAGGTTTATCCTGATTTCCAATTTCTTCCTAGGTCTGAATGGCTGATTTCCAGTTGATTGGTGTGGCAGGAGTCCTGGAATTTCCAGTGGGTTTGGTGCTTCAATTTTTGAGGGAAGAGAGCTGGTGTTTTTCCTGGGTATGGGGTGAGGAAGGGAGTTTGTTGAGGTTACTAACGTTTTGATAATCTTCTGATTTTCTAATTATATGTTGTTTATGCAGATCTACCAATGAAGGTTTCTGCAGTTCTTGAGTAAAGGTTGTAAGGTTTTGATCTTCTATTATGACTGGTAGTGACTAGCTGATCTGAGATTGTATATTGAGGTGAGGGACTGTGATGGAAAATTGACTGAAACCAAAAGATCTTCAAGCCACTGTTGGGACACCACTTGTGGAACTACTCTTTGGGATGAATAGAGCTGGAGAGGGAAAGATGCTTTAATGGGCTGCCTCTCTGGTAACTGGGTTGAGTAAGATTACAAGAAAAAGATAAGAGTGTGGACTCTTAAGGAAAGGTGTGGCTTTGGAGAATTCTTGAGATGGGTATGTCTTCTGTCTTCTGGTCTTCTGTCTGAATAATACTAGTATCCCAAATGTTGATGGGCAACTACTAGGCTAATGAAGGGTGATCAGTTATCTGGATTGCTGGGGCAGGATCTGATGAGGGAACAAATGAAGAGGGGAAAACAAGGCTCCTTATATACAAAATCTGGGGAGTGGCCAGCTTGTGGTTGGAAATACCATGGAACAAAATAGAACAAGAGAAAATTATCAAACTGAAACATGTGGCCCAATTGGTTGGCACTAAGATAAATGGGGAAAATGACATCAGAGACATGCAGGGATGAAATGTGCCACAACCAATGAGTTAGGAAGAATATACCAAAGAGATGAATGAACTAGCCAGATGTGTACTAGTGTGAGACATAAAAATAAACCAAGAGGAATAGTGTGAAACAATAGAATATGGCCCAAAGTGGAAATGAGACTAGAGTGAATTTGGATTAGAGTGAAACACATGCAGAGGCCAAGTGTGGAAGGCTGAATGGGGATTGATGATATAAGACTGCATGAGAGGATTATGTAATAAAGAAAAGTGATGGGGAATCCAGTGTGTTTCTGTCCAGGGGGCTTGGTCTTGTGACACATCATCCCTTACATGATTTCCCAGATGGGAAATCTTGTAAATTTTAGGGAAATCTTGTAAAAAAAAAATATTTTTCCAGATTTTTGAGATTTTTCTAAATTTTTTAGATTTTTCCAGATTTTTTAGACTTTTCCAGATTTTCCAGATTTTACTAGATTTTTTAGATTTTTCCAGATTTTCTAGATTTTTCTAGATTTTTTAGATTTTTCTAAAAAAATTTGATTTTTCCAGATTTTACAGATTTTTTCAGATTTCTTTTATTTTTCTAGATTTTTTAGATTTTTTAAGATTTTTCTAATTTTTCCAGATTTTTTTAGAGGGTCTTAGTCAAACGACTCCCAAATATTGGAGTTCCGACTCCCAAATATTTGGGACGTTGCTAAGACCCCCTGCGGACGGTCCGCAGGCCGTCCACCCACGGAATTGGGAGTCGGACCTCCCAAACCTTCAACAGGTTTGGGAGTCGATCCTCCCAAGAAAAAATAAAAAAAAAGATAAAAAAATGAAAAACCCCGGGGGTTTTTGGGAGTCGATCTTCAAAAACCCCCAGGGAGGTTGGGAGTCGGCGCCGGACTCGACTCTCAGCGGCGGAGAGGAATCCCTCTCCGCCGTTGAGAGTGTATACTCTCACCAGCCGAGAGGGATTCCTCCCGGCCGCTGAGAGTGTATACTCTCACCGGCCGAGAGGAATCCCTCTCCGCCGTTGAGAGTGTATAGCTCTCAGCGGCCAAGAGGAATCCCTCTCCGACGTTGAGAGTGTATAGCTGTCAGCGGCCGAGAGGGATTCCTCCCGGCTGGTGAGAGTGTACACTCACTCTCATCGACCGAGAGGGATTCCTCTCGGCTGGTGAGAGTATACACTCTTGATCAACGGCGGAGAGGGATTCCTCTCCGCCGCTGAGAGTCGAGTCCGGCGCCGACTCGCAACCTCCCTGGGGGTTTTTGAAGATCGACTCCCAAAAACCCCCGGGGTTTTTCATTTTTTTATCTTTTTATTTTATGTTTTCTTGGGAGGATCGACTCCCATCTCCGGGGGTGGACGGCCTGCGGACCGTTCGCAGGGGGTCTTAGCGACGTCCCAAATATTTGGGAGTCGGAACTCCAATATTTGGGAGTCGTTTGACTAAGACCCTTTTTAGATTTTTTCAGTTTTATTAGATTTTTTCAGTTTTTTTCAGATTTCATAGATTTTTCAGATTTTTCCATTCTTTTCTCATCTTTTGAAAATTTTATAGATGTTTCTAGATGTGTCTAGATTTTTCAGATTTTCAGATTTTTTTGAGATTGGATGACTTCCCATCAGTATCTGCGGGTCTCCCAGAAGCAATTTAGAGGCCTGGAAAGCTTTAGGGTTTAAATTGACATCTGTGAGGGTCCCAGATCTGACTGGAAGTCCTCTATTGGATGACTTCCCATCAAAATCTGCAGGTCTCTCAGAAGCAATTTAGAGCCTGGAAAGCTAGATTTTCCAGCAAAATTCTGGACTTTTCAGGTCTAAATCCACATCTTCAAGGGTCCCAGATCAGATGGGAAGTCCTCCATTGTTTAGAACAAAACCTTAAAATGAAAATACTCAAAAAAGTATTAAAAAAATTGAATCAAGTTGACAAATCAAACAAACCTAATGAAAGACTGAAAAAGATCACTGATATTGATGTCCCAATTACATGTGTTTAATATTAGTACATCAAGCAAAATTGGAAGTGGAAAATTAAAATAAAAAAAAAAAGAAAGGGACAAAACTGTTTAGAAGATTTCAGGTCATAAAATTGATTTCCAAATTTCATTGGAGGAATTCACATCTGAAGACATGCATGACAAGCCAATCTAAGAGCTAAGTTCCTGGTTTTTGCTGTCAACACCTGGAATAAATTTTCAGTAGATTAGGCTTGACTGTCACTTGATTTGGATTCTGAAATCAATTCTTTCAATCCCTTGGCTGACTTGAAAGGGTTGAGGATTATGCCAAAACAGACCCCAAAAACCAAGACACCATCAAGATCAACTGACTTGCCTCATGATGATGTACACAATTTCTTCCCTTCCATTCTTCAATGGACTGACAGACCTGGCAACCTCTTGATATGGATTTGAAGGGCAGAATTTGATTTCTTTTAATCATGCATGACTATGAAGACCTGACTTGATGTGGCTGGGGTGTAATGGTGACGTTTTTTTATGCTTACCAATGACATAAGCTACACAGTTTGTATGTGTGTTTCCTTTCAATGTCTGTTGAAAACATGTATAAGGAAACAAGTTGTATATCAACCCTTAGCTCTGAATTGGCATGGCACCATGAGATTTTTTGGAATATTTTAGATAACTGATTGTTGTCAGGAAGTTGTTTGTTATGTACGCTGGTGTTTATTGACATATGATCATGAATAGAACCCGTCAGCAGATGGAAATTGGAAGACAACATGATGACAAGTCATACAGTGATAGGAGAGGCATGTAATTTGAAGAATCATTGATATTCCACTTTAATTGCCTTGTATTTAGGGGGCTGATGTTTCTTAATCAAAGTCCCAACAGTGTCTTGACACCAAGTGTGGTGTTTTAATAATGCTTCAAAAACTTAACTTTAAGGAAATGCAGTGCTTCTTGCTCATATAAGGTCTTGTTGTAGAGATCATGAGTCCTCAGTTAATGACCCAGTTCTTTCCTGATTGGCTTATCAATGTACTGGAACTGAGGGTTCCAATTCTGAGTAACATACATGTAGAAATAGTCTGATAGATTGTGGAGCCCGTCATTGTAGATCTCAATCGATTGATTGTTGGCCAATCCGGAGATCAACTTATGGCCGTAGACGTTGGGAAAAGCCAACTTCTATGGGACGGGAAAATAATTTGTGAGGTCCTGTCCGGCCAGAGATAACATATCCCCATTTGTCACCGATTGGGCGGTAATATCCGAATGTTGTCCCTTCCAAAACTTCCATAGATCAAATACCTGACCTCGAACTCCAATGTAGAAGTCACTTTCCGTGGCGTGATATCCTAATTCAGTTGGATTTAGTGATTGTTTGTTCGGACCTGTTGGGGGGTACCTGCCACACTTCAGATCAAGCCCTTAACACCCTCAGACACCACTGATGCTTCCAGAGGGTTCAGTAATGATGAAGGTTTAGTTCTGGGCCCCCCACTGGTATTTATGGTGGCTGTTGATGTGGAGGGCTTGATCTGAAGTGTGGCAGGTACCCCCCAACAGGTCCAAACAAACAATCTTTAGTTGGATTCCATGCTTGAGCCAGGTTGGGACTAAGGCAAATTCATGTAATTTTAATAACTTCAACTCCTCAACTGCCTGATTAGCTTATCTAAACAAAAGCAGAAAAACATTTAAGAGGCAAGAGACATATGGATGGAATAGTAGGTGACCTGGGTGAGTCAACAACTGCTTGAAAATTCAACCGCAAAGAGAGACAGATAAAATAGAAATCTAATTCCAAAGAGGATTAGAGAGAAAAGGGTATGTATTCCTGGGTGTGCGGACACTTTGAGGGTTTTCTTTTTGGGCTCATCGTTATCATTAGAGTCAGACTCCAGATCAGCAACTTGATTGGAATTGTTGTCTGCTTCATACTCATTGTCTCCCTTGTTGTCTTCCTCGTCCTTGCTATTGGCTTCCTTGTCCTCGTTGTCTTCCTCATCCTCTTCATCCGCACTCACCGCAAAAGAATTGTAGTTGGCTTCGATGACTCCTGCATAGAGACTTTCAAAAGAAAAATAAATAATAATGCAAGGTGAACTCAAACAGTAGGTTGGGTCTAGAATAGCCAGGGGAAAGACTTACTCGAGTGCTTTGGAATGAAGTTCCAAGAGGTGGGAGTGTAATTCATACAAGTCTTCTTTGAATGCAAAGAAGTTGAAAAAGCTGCCAGTGGCATCATTGTAATCGACTTCGAAATCTTCTTTTTCAATCTCCTCAATTGACATGCGAGGCTTTTTGTCTACCAAATTGTATTCATGAGACGTCCATTGGATCAGGACGGGAATCGACTTTTGTTGTCGATTAAGATCATATGTTTTGTTCATCTCGGCCAGTAAAGGATTTAACTTGAGGCCGGAGTCGTTCACAGCCAAAAGCTGTTCCTCCAGGTCAACAGCAAATTTTTTAGATAAGACCCTGTCCGAGAAGTAGGGGTTTCCTTCGGCGAAATGCTGGAGCAAAGAAGTAATGTATCATCTGTCATTATGATTGAAATCCAAAAACAAAGAAATGACACTGACAAAGTGAAAGGTCACATTTCTTGCATCGCTCAGATCATGCAAGTCTTCTAAATGAGACAATGCATCCCAATCGATTGAATGGAGGTGGTAGTCAAAATTGGGGTCGTTTGTCATCTGTAATCAACGGCATCATACAAAGCCCCATGAACATATTCAGTGAAGGGGAAATATGATCATCGACAAAAGAAAATGTTTCTCTGAGGTTGATACTGACTGCCTTGAGCCAGAAGCCTGGAATTTTCTTAATGAATTCGCTGCGCTTTTTGTAGATCGGTTTCAGTAGTTTGACTTGGTAATTGTCTCAATTTGAGGAGAGGAGAGCTCGTTAGACCCAAAATGCAAACATAAAAAGGAATAACGTAGTCAGAAGGCCAAGAAAAAACAACTGACAAGCTTCCCATTCCGCTCTTAATAGCTCCTCATCGAATTTCAAGACCTGATCAAATTGAGCTTCACCATAGACTTCTTTGAGTTGTGATTCCCGTGCAAATGTCAGATCGAAGGCGGCTGATTCAATGGGGTTGCTTTTGGTTGACTCTGGGGCGGTTGTAGCGGACATTTTCGGATGTTGGTTTATTGGCAGTTCTGTTGAACCGTTTGAACTGCCCACTGAGTTGATTTGTAGTACACCCAAACTTCAGGGGGCTTTTACTAAGCTGACGAGCGGCCTGCGTGAATTCACCCTACAATCCTTTGACGAGAACGTCCTGGCCGAGTTTGTCGAGCTTCCTGAGGACGCCCTTGGTGCACAAGTCAAGCCCAGCCCGGCCGCAGCGGGAACCGAGGCTGGCTCCGTTGGTGGGCTGTGGTACAGTCAGATCCTTTGCGGGGTCATCAGGGGCGCACTAGAAATGGTCATCTATATCCTCTGCGTCTATCAAATCCTGCTTGTTATGCTGATCGATATATACTGGTCACTTGAATCCCATTCAGGTCGGTATGGCTGTCGAAGCCAAATTTGTCTCTGATGTCCTTCGTGGCGACGATACAACTGAGATCAAAGTGAGACTGATCAAGTACTTGGACAATGAAGTACCACAAGGAGATGATTGATTCCGACAAGGGTTGCCCCTCCAAGCGCCCAACTTGCCATGTAACAGCCATCAGATATTTATAAAAAAGCGGCCAGCTCAGATGACGGTTTTCTTCGTCCTCCAGTTGCTTCAATCCCAGTTTTCATGTTTATTCTAGTTTTAGTTTTGTTGTAATTCATGTGAAGGGTTATGTTCTGTATACCCATCTAATTCGGGATGATATGACACTGCATCAAACTCGAACCGCAAAACCAGAGCCAGGTTTGAATCTCTTGTAGGTGATATTACACATGATGTCAACTCCGCAAATGTTCCCTTTTTGGGGTATCAATGGATATTCTGGGCCTCCATCAGCTTCAAACACCACCAGAGTAAACACAGGGAACAATCCAGAGCAGAAAACAGACATGATGAAAAAAAATGTTACTGGTAAAATCATAAATGTAAATTCAAATAGCAGACATGCAAGCAAAATGTATGATAATAGGAAATCCTGAGATAGGAAAATCAATGGACACTATAAATAAGAAAACCAAAAAAAAGAAACCACAGGGAAAACAAAGTAGACATTTGAGTAGACACAGCGGAAGCAAAATCCAAATCCCACTTGTGGTGTGTCATTGGTTGGTATCTTCTTGAAAAGACAAAATCCCAGATCAGATGGGAGGAAAACAAGTGTGCTGATGTGGTGAAAAGTTCTAAAAGGGGGGGGGGTGGCTCTGGGCATTCAAAAAACTAAAAGCTAAAAGAAACTTGATGAAATACAAGAAAGAGAAAGATCATATTTCAGTGGGTTTGAGAAGATACAATTTGACCCACTTGTTTTGTGAAGAAATCATAAGGAAAAGAAACTAGACTGGAAAGTATTGTTTAGGATCCTTTAGCAACAAACATAATTTTGTATGAAATGTTGAAAATATCACAGCCTGTGATATTTTCAACAATTCATTGTGATTCACAGGGCTTCTACTTCTAAGCACTAAGATTCTTTCATGGAGAATTCAAATATCAAGCTGTTTTTGTCTCCATGTCTTGATCAAGGTAAGCATATATAATCCATTGTGAATGACCAAATCATTCAAATTTTCTTGCGAACTTTTTTTTTCTGAATAGTCATCCAAGTCTTCAAGGAAAATCCTTCATGGTCTTCTTCAGATATTCAATCCTTTCATACAATTTTTTCTGAAGAGTCATCCAAGATTTAAAAGAATCCAACGACATATTTAACCAAGTTAGGTACATAAGTGACAATAGCCCACGAAATATATCCATCAGGTACAGCCAAAACGTATCTCAGCCCCTCATGGGCTTGGGCAGAGATCGCGTTTCTGCCCCCGCCCCTTTGAAATATCTACTGGCTAGTAGTAGTCACTGCAACAATAAGATGAGAAAAATATTAGGGATTGAATTAATCAAGAGTGGGAGTTTTCAGTGAGCAGGTGGTTTGACAAGAGTAATAAAACATATACAGCTTATGTACAGGAAAGAGAAAGAGAAAACCAAAAGGAATAACAAGAGCAACAAGACAGATTTGGCCAATGTATCCGGATATGTTTAACGGCGAGCTACGACGAAGGCCATGGCCACTTCATCCGAGTGCGAGATTGACAGCTCGAAGTTTTTTATGCCTTTTTCGTGCGCGACCTTACTCGCCTGGCCGGTCAATATGATTTCGGGGCCATTGGGACCGGAGAGGATTTCGATCTCTTTCATGGCCGCGCCGGCGCCTTTGCTAAGGGTCTTCATGGCCTTGAAGGCGGCCTTCTTGGCGGTCCATTTGCCGGCGAGGGACGCGTTGAAATCAGGCGATTGGCGGCAGTAAGCTAGCTCTTGCTCGGCGAAGTTTCGCTCCAGGAAGACGTCAGATTGGGGCACGGCTGTGATCATCTCGACATCCGTCCCGACACCGAACACGCTATCTTCATTCTCGTACTTTTGAGTGATTGTCGCCGCCAACGATGCTGTCTTGGCGGCAATGTTCACCTTGGTCGGTAAGTGGTCTGGTTTCTTCGGGTAAGCATAAGATCCAGTCGAGTCTTTCGATGCTCGTGCAAGAGGGTTCAGAAGTACATGAGGCTCCAGTTCGGGCATGTAAGGAGGAGTTTCTTTCAAGATCACCAGGGAACGCTTGGTCAAGAAGTCATTGAACTTTCGGTAACTCTATAAGTCGCACGAGTGCAAAAAGGTTTGCAGCAATCATTAGTATGTGGGCAGGAAAAGCTCGATTAGGCTGACACTTACGGCGCGCTCGCGAACAAATCGCTTGGATTTATAAGATTCGTATTCGGCGGGCTCGATGGCTGCCAACAAGTAATCTGGATGGACGACCAGCACCTGACCACCCACTTGACCGAATCCGAACGAAGTTAAGAGACCAGCCTTGATACCATCGGTTTGGATCGACTTGGATGGGTAAACCAAGAATTCGAACTCCTGCAACTCAGGACCAATGTTGTCTGCGTTCCGGTTACCGGGAATGATCCCGTCCTGGATAGCTTGCGTAACGCCGCACATCATCCATGCTGCCGCACCACCCTTGGGATGACCAGTGAGCCATTTCTGTGCTACCACTGGGACAGCGTTACCGCGCGATCGACCAAGATGCTGGAATTGCTGGTTATAGACCGAACTTTCGTTTTTGTCATTTGCTTTGGTGCTGGTGCCATGGAACTGCAGACCAAAGAGAGGGATATCAGCAGGAGCTCAAGATCATTCACTTATCACCAAAACATACCGATGCCACTCCGATATCATCAATATTAAGTCCCCAAACCGCTAAAGCGCGTCTCAGGGGAGCAACCTCAGGGTCATCACCACTGGGCATTCCAAAAGTGGATTGGGCTTCCTTCTCCTGACGCTTTGCTTCTTTCTCGATAGCAGCATACCTCTCGGCAATCTCGTCGGAGGGCATTGGTTGGCCAGCTTTCTCGAGATTAGAAACCATGCTCTTAAAGATGTCGACCTCATTGTCTAACCATTGCGAAATCTGCATTCTTCTGAAAGCCAATTGACGCTTTCTCCACTCAATGTCTAGGATTGGAGCCGGAACTTTGCCGGGGGCTTCACGGGCAGTAGAAAGGACACCGCGCCCAGGTCTAGTGGAAAGGAACCCCGAAAAGCAGATTGATTAAGTATAAAAAACATTCTTAATAAGAAGCAATGATGAAAATTAAACTGACGCAGGAACACTTCGACCAGCTTTGTCAGTAGCAGTGGCAGTGTAAGCTACAATGCCATAGATACTGGCCCCGATCTCGATGGCAGTCTTGGCAGACATAAGCACCTGAACACCACATCCTTGAGACTCCATAAATCCGGCACGAGTGCTAGTGGTTGGACGAGACATTTCATTCGGTTCTCGTCCGGCGGCCAATTCTGTTTCCGTATTGCTGGTAGCTTGCATGTTTGCGAATTCGAGACTTCCTTCTTCATCAAAGTCGTCGAAACCACCAGCAATCATCACTTTAGCCTTTCCGCTGTGAATAGTGTCGCATGCGATTTCGATTGATTGTAATGCGGTTGCACAAGCCCCGACTGGGATTTTGATGGGACCGCTAGATGATACTGGAAAATGCGAAACAGATCAGTTTCATGTAACTTGCAGGTAGATAATAAAAACCTGAATTACATAGAAGTAAGTTGACCCAGCCAGCGAATGAAGGTTTCTTGAAGAATGTCCTTTTGAACATCCTTTTCTTCGCGTCTGTCACGGAACATTTTCGATAAACTGCTCATTCCACCCATTCCCGAGCCGAGGGATGTACCGACTTGACTAGGATGAATGTACTTGTACAGTTCATATGGATTGGTAATACCAGCCATCACTGAATTAAGGAAGAGTCCAATAAGTTTGACTGCCGACATAAAACATGAATTTAGAAACTTACTAAGTGCTTCAGCAGTGCAAACAAGGGCCCAGAGTGAGGTTCGATCGACTTGTGCGATGATGTCGTCCGGAATACCAAAGACTCGAGCGTCCCAGCCGGTGGGAATTTGACCGGCTACAAGTCGGTCGAATCTGACGGCTTTAGGAATCATAATCTTGGCGTTTTTCTTGAAACGGATGAAGCACTTGTCGCCATCCAGCCAGACGTCAACCTTGTCGCCATGCTGTAATTTGAACTTGTCGGCATCGGCACGGGAGGTTTCAATAGCTTCCAAGTCGTGGTTCAGCTCGATTTCTTGGGTATATCCTTTACGCTTAGGGTCGTAGCCTCTGAAAAGCTCAGGCTCGATAAATCGAACTCCGGTATGCGCCATGATTTGAGCTTCATACTTCGATTTGACTTGGGAGTCATCGACGGGCTCTTCCGTCTGAGCATCTACCCAACCGACGTACTGTTTACCATTCTTCAGTTTGCCATCGACAAATTTGATCAGACCGGTGATTGTAGCCAATTTGAGTAAGCCTTCGATGCTGAATTCGCCTTTAGCTTCCATTTGCCACCTAGTTCGAGAGCTACCAAATGGCCCAACTTCAGCGTAACCGGCGACAACAATAACCTTGTCCAGGTCTAGCATGCCCCGAAGCAAGGTCATGTTTGCTTCATCGTTGAAGTTAGGACGCAGCTTAGGCATCGGTAAAGTGAAGTTGGCACGTGGTGAAATTTTGACCGGGTGATGGATCGCCTCGGCTTCGACACCATGCACAACCTTGAAATCAATGGTGTTGTCGATACTGATCTTCGAGCGGACATTAGCAACTTCGTTGAGCTCCTGACGAACTTTCATACTGATTTCGGCCAAGTCAGGTAGTTTGTCCATGCCTCCGTTCAAGTCTGCCCATACGGACTCAACTTGGGCCACATCAAAGAGTAACGGATGCATCAAACCAAGAATGTTGAAAGCCATTTCCTTGGCAGAGAAAGTGCGGACACCATGTGTTTCGACACCCTCGGCTATCAAATTGTTGGCCGACATCAAACCGGTACCACTGCAAAATGAGAAGAAGCTTCGTCAGTACGCTGAGGGTACGCATGTTCCGAATATATTCTGACCGAGTCCAGCCAATTACAGCCCCTGCCAGGCACAAGTACTCGCCCCAGGACTCAGAAGACCATCGATTAAACAAAGTCTCCAACGAGATTTTGGACTCGGAATAGAGACCGACATTCCCAAAGTTACCGTGGTTGGGCGACAAAGGCAGTACCACTTGGGTAGGACGAGTGACAAGTTTGAGTGCATGCTTTTTCTTCTTGACTTCACCCATCAATCGCAACAAGTTGGTCAACATCACTCGATGGGCAAGTTCGGATCTGTCATCCAAACCATCGATTTCTCGGCCGTTTTCTGGAATCGCTGCGAAGGGTAAGATATAATCGAGGTCCATGGCTAGTCCCTTGTCCTTATCGGTTGAGTAAATGTAGTCAACCAGGGCTTGGAAAGGCGATTCAAAAAAATCAGCCAGACTACCTTGTGAACAAAGCAAACTGGAGCCTAACCTTCAACATCTTGCTTGGGATCCCTGGTTGAATGGAACGACTGTGAGTCGACTACCGCGCGATCCAACTTCTTGGTAAATAGCCTGGTAGTATTCCACCGTCCTAGGAGAGTAACGAGAAGTAGTAACAATCACATGTGCACCTCCGCTTAACAAACCCTTCAAGATCTCCACACCGATACTAGCCTTGCCGACACGAGTCAACAATGCATTCTTGTGTTCGAATGTGGTCCTCGCGGACGCAATCTCGGTTAAAACGTCCAGATATAGCTAGTCGCGCAGGCGAATCATCCACAATTATCAGCCTGCAATGTGAGCAACAAATTGATAAAAAATGCTTACAGTGGTGACTTTGCTGCTGTAAACCCAGTTGCTTCCCACTTTACGCTTGAGATGTAACAATGGGGTCTTGTCACCAGAGAGAGCAGTTGGCTCAACTTGAACTGGTCTCAAGAATTGACTGGAAGGTCGGCGACTTCTAGGTCCGTTAGCAGCACGATTGCGCTCGTGGGGAGATAGACCTTTAACAACCTCTCCGTACAGTGATCGGATTGCTGCCATCTGGGACTTGGCGATGGTCGGTTGAGACTTGACGAGTTTGTACGGATTCTGAATAGATTCCTGGACCTTGTCCAACTGTAAAAAATCGTAGTGAGTTAGAGGGATGGGACAATTGATTAAATCAGGGGAAGGGCGCTTACGTTCATCTCAGCGGTAATCCTGTGCCATTCGGAGAATGGGTCAGATACCATCAAACTCAATTTAAGGAGCGTTAGCAGTTAACGCGACTTACTTCGATCCGGCTGCCATCTCGGCTACATAGCGCTCAAGTCGAGAAACCCCAACACGATTGACTTCCTCATAGACGATTTCACATTTCAAAGTAACGGTAGTCTTTGGTGCCGTTGGAAAGGTAACTGTAGGGAGTGAAGATGGTGAGTAAAAACTTATTTTCATACTAATTGAATCTAGCAATCAACTGACCATCTCGGTACAACGGAGCGGTACCAACAGCTTCCCGGCAATTGCTCAAAAGCATCTGTCCAAACTCCTTCGCGAGACGGTATCGCTCGCCTTTGCTGGAATCAGTATGGTCGAGATAATATTGCATGTAATCGATCAAAGCAGGATTCGCTCGATTCATGATGACCAAGCACTAAGATGGTTTCCAACCGTAAGAAATCTGGAAAGAATGTATGAAGAGAAAAGAGCACTCACTTTTGCGGTGATATCACGGTCAACAGTCTTCAACCGACCGTAGATACTGGAGTAAGGTTTTGAAAGAAAAAAACGTCAGAGTGACATTCATTGAATAAGTACGGACGGGCTCACATGTCAAAGAACATCTCCAGCGCTGTTTGTCGAACCCAATTCCATGCAGAGTCGAAGTGTCGGGCCTTCAAAGGATCGAAGACTGGCTGGATCCCTTTGAGATAGTTTTCACCGTGTTCTTTCTGGATACCATCTAATTCGTCTTGAACCCGCATGTAATCGGCATGTTTGAGGTCATGCAGTCTGTAGCCATCTCGTGAATCTCTTTTCAAGTATCTCAACAAGACTTCGAGTTGCTGGGATACGAAGGCGTCTTGACTTTGTTGGAATTTTTCGAATTCCTCCGAGTTGATCATAGCACCGCCGGCGCTGCCGCCAGCTGCACCGGCAGGGCCGCCTTGAGATAGGGCCAGGACAGAATGTTGACCATAAGCCTGGACGACGGAATCAAGATATGATTTGGCATCCCCTTCAGAGCCCAATCGCTTGGGTGGTTCCATGGTCAATGCCATCAGGAGAACACCTTCCGTTCTACCAGGGCCTAAACCCCAAGACTTAGAGAGGTGGCTCTTGACACCCGACATTCCGAAACCTCCGGGCATCTTGCTCCCTGTGAGTCGCGATACCAGGGCACTCGTGTGCTTGCCCATAGTACCACTATAGCTCGATTGAAGCGCAGAACCCAGTTCACCCAATGGCATTTCCTCTGCTTTGTCTGGTGCCGAGCCAAATTCAGCCTCTGAGAAAATTAAATAGCACATCGGTTAGTTAAACCATTCTTACAGTCGTGATCTATGAACTAGCTAGTAAGAATTACGAGCACTGCCTAATCATTCATTTTGAAGAGTCGATTTGCCGCCGACCAAGTCCTTGATGGCCTTAGAAAGAGGTACATCATTCAAAGGTTTCTTCAAGCCCTGGGCAACCAACACGCGCAGAGTCTCAACAGCCTTCAGTGGCTCGTCAGCAACAGCAGCAACAGGTCCAGAGGCAGCAACGGGGGCAGCGACGGCGACGGCGGCAGGAGAAACGGCAGTGGGTTCGCTGACTGCTGCAGGGGCAGCCTCCGTTTCGACTTCGTCTTCGTATTGATAGTAGATTTCCTTGATGTTTTTAGAAATGCAGAGGATTTCTCGGGACATGTTGTGAGCTGTGTCTTGCTGGTCATACTTCAGTTTCAAGGTACGAGAAGCCATGCCGGTAAGGGTTGGAGAGGGACCGAATTCGATGAGACGCTCGATGTTATACTTCTGATGGGAAAACAATTGGTCTTGAGTTTGAATCCAGAGAACGGGTCTGAAAAGCCAAATGGGAGCAATGTTAGATAAGCTTAGAGGAAAAACGAAGCAGCCGAATGAATAGAGAAGGCACTGACGATGCAAATTGATAAGCAAGAAGCTCGACAATGATCACATAACCAAGCTTGCTTCGGTTTTCGGGAAGATCCCAGCCATCTTCGACCCAGTTTTTCAACGTTTTCTCTAGCCTTGGGGAGTTGGTCTGTTGGTAAATCCGTTCAGCGTAGGCTTCGGAGATTTGGAAAGGTTCGGCGGTCAAATTGGGAATGTATTTGTCGATAAGCAGCTCAGGGTTCATGTGAGCTGGGTTCAACTTTTTGGAGAGGTATGCCCTGAACGGCATGACACTGGCCCACAGATAACGTGAGTGGAATGGAACGTCAATGCCCGGAAGAGGAATCGAACTGATCAAGTAGAGAATCGTAAGATCTGTTTAGCTCTAATGGACATGTTCCAGTTTATCGTGCAATATGGGAAAGTGAACAACTCACGCAAATCCGCGCTCAAGAACAATGAATCCCTGCTTTTCTTCTTTGAGTAGAGACTCCTTGTGGCACTCGTCGACAATTTCAATCAGGTGTTCTTTGACTTTCTCAGCGACATTGTTTGCTGCAGTTGAGCGATGTCGATTTTCTGGACCTTCAAGAAATTTAAGACGTTGGTAAGAGTTTGCAACGCAACAAGCTCCCCGGCGGTGACATATTGTTGGCCTTCGACATTAAAGTTGACGATTTCTAGCAAAACCTGGCATCGTTTGGAGATTGTATCGACGACTTCACGCAGGGCTGCATCACTGAAGCTCTTGCCGATCCTGCTGGGATTAATGGCGGCCATCGCATACTTCGAGCGGTTCTTCTCGTCTCTTTCAACAGCCCGTTGCATCGTGATTCCTGGGAAAAAGACAACATCGACGAGGGATGAAATGGGCAAGACGCCAGCAATACTGGCCAGGGCAGAATACTCTCCGAGACTGTGGCCAGCGAAAGGTGCACCCTCCTGGACTAGTCCCTTCTCGCGGAGATCCTCAAATGCCGCTTTTTCAGTCACTACCAAGGCGATCTGTGCGAATTGGGTGGCATACAATAGACAAGTTGGGGAGGAGAAGGTGTAGCGAGATGTGCGAAGGTCAATATCCCCAAACAAAGGAAGGGTTTTGACGTTTCCATCTTTGTCAGTCGTTTGATACGACATTTCCATGTAACGCTGTCGAATCCCGTGTCCTTTGATCCCGCCAAAATGTACAATCTTTTCTTTAGGGTTGTTGCGGACGATCTCAAGGATACTGAATCCATACACTTCGCCCAAATGCCTGTCGGCTTCGTCCCAGACCGCTCGGGCAACCGCCGATTCATTGTAAAGAGCCATACCCATTCCAGGCTCCTGACTTCCCTGCCCAGTGAAAACGTAACCGGTCGAAGCTGGCGCGACTTCTGCAGTACCAACAAGCACTTTTGTAGGTTCGGCGGAAGAGGATGATTCGCCAGGGAGAGCGTAGGTGGTGACAGAGATGAGTTTGTAGCCCTTCGAGGTTTGTCCAATGTGCTTGAGCTCGATCTTGAGAGTCGTATTAGGCAGAAGCATGCCGGTGAAAGAGACATCGTAGCTCTTGACCCGCGCGCCATGTCCTTCCGCGGCAACCCTCTCGACAACACTTCGAGTGGCAGCGCTAGACCACATTCCATGAGTGATCGTGCCAGGGAGGGAGGCTAAATTGGCAAAGTAAGGGTTGCAATGAATCGGGTTCCAATCCGCACTGGCCTGTGAATATGGTAGATTGTTCGTAGGAGTTTTGGTTTCACTGATATTGTTTTCGTCCTTGATGAGGTAACCACCGGTGGGGAAAAGAATATGTTGCCCAACAGGTTTACCGGATCGTTTGAGGTACTCGAGGACGGGATTACCTTTGGATGGAGTGGCTGAAATGTAAGAGATGATGGCGACTTGGATGAGTTTGTTGGGATCGGACCCGATTCCAGTGAGATATGCCGAGCCTTCGACTTCCACTGAAGCATATACTCCCTTCTCCTTGTATCGGTAGGAGGATGAGGTTTGAAAGGTAAGAGTTTGGCCAGGAGCGAGTTTCACGTTTTCATCCTTCCAATCGAACCAGTCCTTTGATTTCAAGACAGAGATATCGGTAGTCGAGTTCATCGTAACTTTGTATTCCGGATCGTCTTCAGACATGAAGGTTGCATCAAAGTCGTCGAATCGGCCACGGTAGAAGAACGAGGAAATGACATCCATGACGGGAGTTTTCTCGCCATCCTTAAGTAGGAACACCGTCCCCTTGACTGCCACCGTCTTACCAGTCTCGCTATTGGTGATGCTAGCGATCTTGGCTTCACTTGTGACTGTATCACCGACCTAAAAAGAATTATTGAATTGGAAATGTAGGGTGGAATGATCAGTGACAGTTCCTGTTAGGAGTCCTGTGCAAACAAGATCAATGACACCTTACTTTGAGTCTTGGGGCTCGATCTCTCATATCAAATTGGTTGCTCGAATGCACTAGGGCAAGCAAATCCCCTGGGATCGATTTGGGGAAAAGGGGCTTCATGATGGCTTTCCATCCCAATTTGATACCAAAATCCATGGGGACCTCGGAGTTGGGACCAGACGAGCGGTAAGCATCCGAGTCGTTGCCAACGATGGTGGAAAATGATACGATGTCCTCCGCCGAAATATCGACCTTAGGTCCATTAAAGATAGCACTAGGAGCAGTCGGCAGGTTCTCGTACTCTTCCTGTAATACGAATAAGATCATAATACATCATCAGTATATGATGTGCGGGTGAGGGAAGAAGTAAATAAAACCCAATTGACCTCTGTTCCAAGATCCCATACATTCCAGTAATATCTTTTGATCCTATCAATCCTGTCCTCGACGACTTCATGAATAGGAGCCCATGGAGTTTCAGGAGAGTACTTGTATTTCAAGTCAAGTTGGGTAACTTTGGGTTCAGCATTGGGACCCGAACCAGAAGGAACCAGGTAATCAACTGCATGGCGAGAGGTGAGTGGGTTAAGAGCAGGTAACAAGAACATCAGCCCCCTAAATACAAGGCAATTAAAGTGGAATATCAATGATTCTTCAAATTACATGCCTCTCCTATCACTGTATGACTTGTCATCATGTTGTCTTCCAATTTCCATCTGCTGACGGGTTCTATTCATGATCATATGTCAATAAACACCAGTGTACATAACAAACAACTTCCTGACAACAATCAGTTATCTAAAATATTCCAAAAAATCTCATGGTGCCATGCCAATTCAGAGCTAAGGGTTGATATACAACTTGTTTCCTTATACATGTTTTCAACAGACATTGAAAGGAAACACACATACAAACTGTGTAGCTTATGTCATTGGTAAGCATAAAAACCCGTCACCATTACACCCCAGCCACATCAAGTCAGGTCTTCATAGTCATGCATGATTAAAAGAAATCAAATTCTGCCCTTCAAATCCATATCAAGAGGTTGCCAGGTCTGTCAGTCCATTGAAGAATGGAAGGGAAGAAATTGTATACATCATCATGAGGCAAGTCAGTTGATCTTGATGGTGTCTTGGTTTTTGGGGTCTGTTTTGGCATAATCCTCAACCCTTTCAAGTCAATCAAGGGATTGAAAGAATTGATTTCAGAATCCAAATCAAGTGACAGTCAAGCCTAATCTACTGAAAATGTATTCCAGGTGTTGACAGCAAAAACCAGGAACTTAGCTCTTAGATTGGCTTGTCATACATGTCTTCAGATGTGAATTCCTCCAATGAAATTTGGAAATCAATTTTATGACCTGAAATCTTCTAAACAGTTTTGTCCCTTTCTTTTTTTTTTTAATTTTCCACTTCCAATTTTGCTTGATGTACTAATATTAAACACATGTAATTGGGATATCAATATCAGTGATCTTTTTCAGACTTTCATTAGGTTTGTTTGATTTGTCAACTTGATTCAATTTTTTTAATACTTTTTTGAGTATTTGTAAGAGTTCCGTCTGAGCTCTTCACTGTCGTCGATTAAGTAGTTTCTAGAGCAGGCAATGAGCCTGGAGAGAACGTTTTCTAGAACCTGAGTATCTTTATTTCAAATGAGCTAGCTCGGTAGAATAGAAGTTAATGGTTCTCTCAGTACAAGCTTCATAGTCAATAAAAATGATAACAGAAAGGAAAAAGAGAAGAAACAATACGTATGAACTCACCTAGCTCGGTAGAATAGAAGTTAATGGTTCTCTACCGAGTTAGGAAGAGTGAATCTGAAAGGTATTTATTAGATGATGATTATGTAAGCTATATGTGATTGTCCTTGTGAAACTCGTGTGTGGCGAGGTTTCACAGTATTTTCATTTTAAGGTTTTTTTCTAAACAATGGAGGACTTCCCATCTGATCTGGGACCCTTGAAGATGTGGATTTAGACCTGAAAAGTCTAGAACTTTGCTGGAAAATCTAGCTTTCCAGGCTCTAAATTGCTTCTGAGAAACCTGCAGATTTTGATGGGAAGTCATCCAATAGAGGACTTCCAGTCAGATCTGGGACCCTCACAGATGTCAATTTAAACCCTAAAGCTTTCCTAAATTGCTTCTGGGAGACCCGCAGATACTGATGGGAAGTCATCCAATCTCAAAAAAATCTAAAAATCTGAAAAATCTAGACACATCTAGAAACATCTATAAAATTTTCAAAAGATGAGAAAAGAATGGAAAAATCTGAAATATCTATCAAATCTGAAAAAATCTGAAAAAATCTAAAAAAATCTTAAAAAATCTGGAAAAATCTAAAAAATCTAGAAAAATAAAAGAAATCTGAAAAAATCTAAAAAATCTGGAAAAATTGAAAATTTTTAGAAAAATCTAAAAAATCTAGAAAAATCTAGAAAATCTGGAAAAATCTAAAAAATTTAGAAAGATCTCAAAAATCTGGAAAAATCTAAAAAATTTAGAAAAATCTAAAAAATCTGGAAAAATATTTTTTTTACAAGATTTCCCTAAAATTTACAAGATTTCCCATCTGGGAAATCATGTAAGGGATGATGTGTGACATTGATGGTGTTGCAGGTTAACTGAATATTCCAGAAGGGGCTTGTCTTGGTCCTTGAGGGTCTTGTCATCCAGAGGGCTTGATTATGTGCTTGAAGATTTGATTTTGTGGGCCTCTTATTCAAGATTGGCTTACCACAACGGGTGCCCCAAAATTCATGAGGCTATCAATGCTGGTGCCAAGCTCCCACCAATGGCTCTTGACGAAGAACGAATCAAAAAGGTTGGCGGAAAAGCTGGAACAATCACTCATCATTTTGCTCCAGTCAAAAAGTTTGATAACGTTGTGGTGTGCTGTGCCTGTTCCAATGCCAAAAGCATACGGCAGAGGTGTTGGGATAGCATAGTTACATACGTGTGACAATCATTACAGGAGAAGGAACAAATCATTATGGATGAGGTGTGGTATATACGGACTGGATTACATACAATGAGTGGATTGGGAGAACATGTCTCGACCAGGAATGGAACGGAGGAGCGGAAGTATATACGTGGAGAGGAGTGGGAGAACATGTCTCAACCAGGAATGGAACGGAGGAGCGGTGTGTAATAAGGGTACTTTATGTTTTACGTAAGGGTACAGGGTACGGATTGTAGAAAGTGAATGGAGGAAAATATTGAGGCGGAGGGAGGAAGGAAGGAGTGAGGAGAGGCTTTGACCCCCAAATTCTGGATGGAAGGAGATAACAGCAGGGCTGGCAGGCTGGTACTGCCTATGCAGAATGTTCTAGAAGACGGCTTGGTTGCCTGGCAATGCATAACATCATGCTGCGCTTGTGTGCTCCCTTGCATGCATATTATGTGACAAGGTCTGGAGTTAAGTGTTCCTAGCACAGCATAAGCTGCGCTATTTGTTTGGAGGCTGTGCGCAAAGGCTGTGAAGGTGAGATCCCCTGCAGCAATATTCCCTCACAAGGAGTCCCCTGCAGCAGAAATCCCTCACTCTTCAATATAAAAGAAGGGCCTCTCCCCACCAGAAAGTCCCTTCTCCCCATCAACCTACGGAAGTAAGTTCGATCACCCAAGTTGAAGAATAAGTTAGTAAGTGAGTGAGTTAGTGATAAGTAGAGAGTTAGTACAGTATTGTAAGCGTGAAACCAACAAAGAGTTCGGAATTTGAAGCATATTAGTAGTAGTAGTCATTATATAAGTAGTAGTACATTAACAATTAACAAATAACAAGTAGTAGTAGTATTAGTACAGGAGCTCTAGTTTTTGATTAAAGTGCCTTAGCAAGAAATTGTTCGAGGAAGAGATCATTAACAAACTCTATAACAACTCATCTGTTTCGTGCTCAAGTCATCAGCACCACAGTTTCCATTATTAACCTGAAGTTGTAACAGATTCATTTGTAGATTGATACGTGATCTAGGTCTGATAGAGATTACTTTACGAAAGTAAGATCTATCTTGGAATCAGCCATACATTATTAAATATTGATTACAAGACTCTTAGTTATTTGTTTAGTACATTTAGAGGGGCAGGTCTTTCAAACCACCCGTAAGTTGTAATAGCCTTTCAACCTATTTGCAATTTATTTCCCCTTCAAGGGATCTTTTGATATACATATACTTTACCGTGTCTATCCGTCCCAGGAGTCCTACAACGTTGTACTCAACAAGATTGTCACCCTGTGGTTGTTACGTCAATCAATCCCTTGGAATAGAGTTGAAGACAAATATCTCCAAGCGGCATTTCACTATTGTCAGGCGGGCGCCAGCTTGTTCAAGCGCAAATGGGCAGCTGATTCAGCTAAGATGGTGTATTTGGACTTACAAGATGCAATGCTTAAACGATTAAAAGTGTGTCCTGTATGTTAATTAATGAGTGACAACTTGCTGATTTTTTTTTTGGTTTTTGAATCATTAGGATTCTGATAGCAAGTTCAATCTTATACACAACATCTGGAAAACCAAAGGGAACCGTTATGGATTTATTGGCACATCAGTCTCTTTTATTGATAACGGTTGGAACTACAATGTACTCCATCTGAGTCTCAAGTTAGTTGCCTGTCACCACAAAGGAAGCTTGTTGGCCAAGCCCGTCATCAACATTTTGGCAAAGCATCAACTTCAGAAAAAGATAAGTCTTTCTTTGTTTTTAAATTCACCCAAAAAGTGCAAAATGCTAATTATTGTTTAACAAATACATGTTATTCCAGACTGCAGATTCAGGATCAAACAACAACACGATGGCTGAAACGATGCATTCAAAATTGTGTAGTCTGGAAGGAACCGAGGATCTTGAATGGGATTACAATACAATGCACATCAAGTGCTTTTGTCACAAGATGGCATTGGTCGTTGATGCTGGTTTGACAGAATTGGGCATCAAAGCTCCTCCACCACCAAAAATAAAAAAGGCCTTTCTTGGTTCTTTCCCCTACTCTACTGCAATGGCACCAATTACCGAAGCTGAGGAAGAAAAGACCACTGCCAATCAAATGGTGTACGAGAGCGACTGCAATGACAATAGCAATACTGAGGACTCTGATGATGATGAGATTGATATGGTCGAGGAGGACGAGGAATCAGAAGCTGTGGAGAAAGGAGTGCCAGAAAAAAATGAGAAGGCCGGTGGGAAAAATAAAAACAAATCTGCTGCAAACAGGAATCAGTCTAATGAGTTGAATGAACTGACCAAGGCTGTAAGTTTTTGCTCCTTTTAATTTATTTTGTTTTTATTTTTCTGACAAAACTACTTTAGTTGGACTTTGTGGTAAAAAAGATCACCAGCTCATATGCTTGGAGACAGGAATTTGACCAATGTTCCAAGGGAAAAGATTTGAAAGGTTTAATTGCTGGCTATGGAATTTGCTGGAACATCAAGTATCAAAGCCGAATGTGTGCCTACAATGTGAGAGAAGTTATAAGCAGTTAAACTAATTCCAACACCAAAATTAGAATTGGTACTGACATATTTGATTCTAGGTTATTGATGCAATGCTCCAGGATGAGTATGTTAAATACCAAGATCAAACTTCCCGATTGAGCCACAAAGAAAACCGCAAGAAGTTGGGGCACTTTAAGGAAATCCAGTTCATGGCAAAAGAATGGAGGATGATTGATGAGTTGAATAAGGAGTTAGAAGTGAGGGGCAAATTACTCAATTTCTACAGTTTTCTTAAGATACTTAATAACTTATCTTTTGATCAGCCTTTTGACCGTCTCATAAAAATAATGGAGGGTGATGGTCCTACAGGTGCCTTTGTACTCCCAAACTACTACCAGATTATCAAGGATCTGAAGAAGAAAGAGGACGGATGTGACCAAGGACACACATTGCATCCAATGTATATCAAAATGATAGAAAAGCTCCAGACCTACCAGGACAAAGCACTCAAATGTGAAACACTTGTCATGGCAACACTTCTTCACCCATCATTCCGGTTGAATCTTTTTACACATTGCTGGCCTGAATCTGCTGACATGGCTAAGAAATTATTGGAGCGTCATTTTAAGAAGAGAGACAAATTATTACAAAAGAGAAAAGAAGACAATAACAAAATCAGCCAGAAAAAGCCGGAAACCGTTGATGAAGATAATATCTTTGAATTATTCAATGCTGCAAAAATTGAAGAAAGCAAAGAGCTCGAAGTTTATGTCAAAAACATGGATTGACCAACGGGACCAGGCACAACGGATCAAGATGGTCTATTGATTTGGTGGAAGGTGCACATTTTTTTTATTTGATCAACAACAATTCAATTTTTACTTTACACTTGTCAGCTTGCTACTATGGCAGAGACAACCTGTCATAGCAAATAAAAATAATAAATTACATAAAAAATCTAAGTATAAATTAAAAATATTACATAAGTAAAAGAAACAATATTACTTATGTAAATAAGATAAAAAATACGTAAAAATAAATGAATAACTTAAAAAGTATAAACAAAACCTTGAATATTATTGCAGATTCTGAATCAGCATACAGTTTAACCTAGGGTGCCTCAGCCAAAGGTAGCCCAAATTCTAACTCCTTCACCCTGTAATACAAGCATGAATAACTAACAGGTACCCCCAGATCACGGGTACTGTGACACTTCTGCATAATGCATAATGCATATACTCCAAATCCAGTCTCAGAATTGGAGTATTGTGCACGGTTTAGAAGATAGAGCAGTGTGGAGTCCTGTCTCCAAGCCCATGTGCCACGTAGGCATGCTGCGCACCAGTATCCAAGGATTGGGCCACAAAAGCCCCAGAATCCCCATTGCACATGGCAACAAAGCCCCCACACGTGTAATAGGAATGTGAACAAGCTAGAATATCCATGAAAATACTACAGTAACCATATTCCAGTGGGTAACACGTGTAGCAAGCCTCAGAAGACACCTCTGGAATATTCTGTGGCCCATTTCCAAGGAACCTGCTCCACGTAACAGAGTAGCCCCTATCCACAGGTTCCCATGGGACATTCTTGGCTGTAATAATTCCGTGAATGACCCCTTGGAGCTTCTGGAATATTATCCCCAAGGTTCCAGCCCTGGTTACATCACCATGTGGGCCAAAATGGGCCTAAAAGCGCCCCCAAGTCCTACTAAGCTCCCCTGAGCAACCCCTGAGGCCTTCCACAGGTATTTAAAGGGCCTTCTGACCGCCCAAATAATGATCCCCCAGCTTTACAATACCATATAGAAACATACTTACCATTTACAAGTCCCCTACACTTGTAATTAGCCTAGTTACTACTATTATTAAAAAGGTTTAACATAATACCTCAAACCCTTGCCCACAACAGGTATCGCTACCAGCGATGTCGCCCGAGACATTAATTCTCTTGCTGAACCTGCTTTTTCACGTAATATTGAGTCAGTTCCCCTCCTCTTATACGTTTTCAAGTCTTTTGTTATTCTATTTAGTAGTACTTTTTTTCAAGTCTTTTGTTATTCTATTTAGTAGTACTTTGATTCCTAAAATGGTCCTACGTTTGTTCCGCCACCTCTCGCCTGTTTCTTCAAAATGGCCTGACACTTTTCCTTAATCCTAACATGTCGCCTGCTTTTTCAAAAAGACCTGACATTTTTCCTTAATTGTAATATACTTTTCCAACTCTTTTGTTCTTCTAATTAGTAGTACCTCGCGAAATGGTCTGGCACGAACTTCTTGACCACGATTCTTCTCTCCTCTGTTCAGACACGCCTCGCCCATTTCGTCAAAATGGCCTGGCACTTCTTCACTAATTTTACCAAAATCAATCGTATAAGACCTAACCATCGACCACAATTCCCATATCCCAATGCTTTTGACACGAGTGCACTCCACTCATCAGACCCTGCATGCCTCATTTTCACTTCCTCCTTCTTCCACCTTTTGTTCTACTAATTTCACTTCCATTTCTGTTTGCCTTTTTATGTTTTTGGCCCTCTTCCAAAATAGGCTACAATGCGGATATGACAATTGACTAATTCCCTTCATCTTCAACTCAGTGTTCTCCTCTATTCCAAGCGCTCGTCATCATCAGCTAGTGTGAAACCTCGCCACACACAGGTTTCACACATCAATCACAGAAGCTTACATAATCACCCCAACTCAATCTACTCTTATAAACCATCCTACTCCACCCCTGCCTAGCTCGGTAGAGAACTTCGGCCTTTTTCTTCTACCGAGCTAGGTGAGTAAAAACCCATTTTTGACTTCTTCTTCTTTTTCATTTTTATGATCATGTTCTTCTTTTCCTTCTTTTTTATTATCAATTGTACTGAGAGAACTTCGGCCTTTTTCTTCTACCGAGCTAGCTCCTTGAAATTCAGACACATTCAGGTTCTAGAAAAGTTCTCCCCAGGCGTGTTGCCTGTCTCGAAGTAAATTAAGATACGATAGTGAAGAGTCAAGACGTGACTCTTACACTTTTTTTTTCTCGAACCTATCATTTGATGACAACTCGTTCCCAAGCGGAAAACCTTCTCCCTTTAACTGATCCGGAAGCAATTTTAAAGAACAGTCGACGTCAAAAGAGGTTGGAAGCGGCTGCCATTATACAACACGACGCAGGCAACCTCTTCGATCTCCCAGCACTTCCACCTTCTCCAACAATGTCGGAAGCGCCAGAAACCTCCAACACCATCGATCCTGCTAAAAATAATGCCAACGCATCCGGCACTTCTTTGACGCTGGATGATTATCTCAAAGGAATCTTGAAACTACAACATCAAAGCATCGATCAAGCTAACGTCGATCGTGGTACAATCATGGAAAGCCTGAAAAGTGAGCGCGAACTTCGACAAGCTGACGCGGATCGGATCGCGAAGCTAGAGGAGATGGTTCTCCGTTTGGCAATCAAAAACGACCCGGAGACCTCATCGACACGGGTGGAGGCAGGTCGTATTGATCTTCAGCGATTCCGATCGTCAGACGGCCCCATTTTTTTGGGACCGTTCCAGAATGTCGAGCGATTCATCACATGGATTCGTAGCGTTCAGATATTCTTCGCCACGAAGGGAGTTACCCACGACGACGATAAAATTCAGATCATTGGAGGACTCATTCGCGAAACTAACACCACCGCCTTCTACGCCAACGGATTCGAGAAGTTTCTGGGTCACCCCTGGTCGGAATTCAGGTCAAAACTGATTAAATTCGCACTCCCGCCTAACTGGCGTACGACGCTGCGCGGCAAGTTCAAGGACCTCAGAATGGGGAACTCGGAATCGTTTCTTGCGTATAGCACCCGATCACGCACGCTCCAAAGTATGCTCAATTTTGACCTCGAGAAGGAGGCAATATCCGATTTTGATCTAGCCGAATCGATGACACTCGGCTCCAACGACCAGCTGCAATCCGAAATTCACAACCACCAACTCCTTCTGCAGGACCCCTTCCTGTTCAGCACATTCGAGAACAGGGCAAGTGGATTCTGGGACGGCGTCATTAAGCGATCCGCGGCGACACCGAAATCGAGAGCCTACATTACTTCGAACCCAGCATCCACGGGGCCCCAATTGGGACGCCTACCTAAGGAAGAATACATCTGGCGTATTCACGCGTTTCTAGACGCCCAGGGCAGATGCCACTTCTGCAAGAAACAGTGCGGCAGTGCCCCAGGCAAGTGCGCGGGCCCAATTGATAAATCACCGATCGAAATCCCGCCAGAGTTCGTCGTCCCACCAAAGCCGAGCGACTACAAGCCACCCAGAGCGAAGGGGTTTGCATCTACTTCAGCGGGGAAACCGACTCAACTGCCAGCGGGTCGTCCGGCCAATAGGGCAGCGTCCGTAGCTGGAGTGGCTGAAAGCAATATGTTCCCAGATCTTGACGAGGCAGCGGTATCAGCGTTTGCCGCGATCGACGAAGAACTCCGGGCAACCAGCAAGGATGAGTACGTGCTCCCCACCACACCCAGACGACTGATCATTCGTCTTAAAGCTGGAAATCAATACTTATTGGGTCTGGTTGACACAGGAGCCGAGATCAATTTGATCACTGAGAGGGCAGTGAGAAGTGGGAAGTTGCCAATGCTGGATCTTCCGAACCCCACCCGCGTCAGTTTAGCACTCAACAATGATTCTCGGTCTCCTTTAATTCTCAAACAATTCACGCGAGTCACGTTAACGGAGACACATTCAGCGGTGGAATTTAAAGATGTGGAACTCAGTATAGGCGCTGTTGTGGGAAACTACGATATGATACTCGGGGTGCCCTTCCTATCTCAATTTTTTATTTCTGTCTCTATCTCACAACACAATCTATTATGCGATAAAACCGGAAAAAACATATTGGATTATAGAACTCTTGATGCAATGAAACCAGAAGAGGGCCCTCCCACATTGGGAAGAGACAATTGCAACTACCCCATTGAGGAATCGGAAAAGACAGTCCTGAGGGAGTTCTCCGATCTATTTCCAGTGGACATCCCAGCGGTTTCAGATGAGGCGGAGATGTCTGGATGTTTCAAAGATGGTTCCTTCCCGGAAAGAATGCAAAAGGAAGATTCGAAGGTGAGGCACAAGATCATTTTGACCGATCCTAACGCTCAGATCAATGAGCGCCAATATTCATATCCGCAGAAATATATGACAGCGTGGCGTAAACTCTTGGATCAACACATTGAGGCAGGTAGGATCCGAAGATCTTCTAGTCAGTACGCTTCGCCTAGTATGATCATCCCGAAGAAGGATCCGACGGCACTTCCACGGTGGGTCTGCGACTACAGGACACTCAATAGTTTCACGGTCAAAGACCGCTCACCTCTTCCAAATGTGGACGAATTGGTACGCATGGTCGCGACAGGGAAAGTGTTCTCCATTCTGGATCAGACAAACGCTTTTTTCCAAACGAGAATGCGAGAGGAGGATATCCCTCTCACTGCGGTCAAGACTCCGTGGGGGTTGATGGAGTGGGTTGTCATGCCCATGGGACTAACGAACGCACCGGCAACTCACCAGGCAAGATTGGAAGAGGCGCTAGGGGAACTTATCAACAATATATGCGTGGTATATCTTGACGACATTGTGGTTTTCTCCGACTCATTCTTGGAACATGAGAAACACGTCCGCCAAGTACTCCAGCGACTCCGCGCAGCAAATCTGTACTGCAGCCCAAAGAAGACACAACTATTTCGGCATCAGATCAAATTCCTAGGGCATTGGATCTCGGCGGACGGCATACAAGCGGACAAT